ATTCGGATAAAAACTCGGATAAAAGACACTGCTGTTATCAGAAAACACACGCAGTTTTGAAGATTACGTAAAATATAATACGAAAACATAGCTAATTACAGTCTGGCCCTCTTTTTAGACATTCTACTTGAACTGTTAAATGTACCCAATTAACTATCTTTGCGAAGTGCCTTTTGCTGTGCTAATTTGATGAAAGTATTTAGATTTTTTTAAATTTAATAGTATTTAAATTTTGACACATATTATATTTGCCATTATTATTTCTGTATAATAGTCCAGACTAAATACATAAAATATATCTTTAAATGTTAACCTATTCCCAAATAGTTTGTCTAGCGTAAATAATTTACGAATAAAAGTGTATCTGGTTGCAGCGCATGTTTTAAAGCACTAAATAATACCAAAAAAAATACACTTTCGCTTAGCGCCATCCGGACGTTACGTCGTGTCGTTACATTCAACAGTGTGACTCCGAAAAAGCATTAACGGCGTTTTTATCAACAAGGCGCTTTAGTTAGTCAATGGTATCGCGCGGAGAAACTACTTACATGCTGCACACACACTTGCCCGAGCGGACGGCCCAAAAGAAACATCGCCTTGATAGCTAAAGTACATACACATATAAAGTTATTGGTTTTTGTTTGTTAAACACTCTTCGCATCTTGGCAATGATGTTCGGAGTTCAGTAAAAGTGAAGTCTTATAATTCTGGCCGTTATTGAATATCTGTGTGCTGAGTGCAGTTAACGGTAACGGTAACGGTTACGTGAAAGTGGACTGTGCAAAAATGCTGCGTTTTTATTGTACCTGTATTAAATAATACATTTGCATTGGTGAAAGTATGTTAACTGCTTCTGAATCGAACGGCGGCCAATGAAACGTGCAACACAAACAAGACGAAGGCTGAAGGTTGACAGTGCAACAAATAATAAGAAATCAAAAGAAACTCAAACTACGACCCCGATTTTTGGAATATACACACACATTTTCACCGCATATTAGGTATAGGAGTTGTGTTCAATGTACAAATTTATTAAGTGTATTATGAGTAATTCATGTTGTGTTTGTTGTTGTTGTTGTTGTTTTTGCCGCTGTTGCAAGTGTTGTAAGCAAAGGCAAGTGACTCGCATGTTACGTTGCCAAAGAAATTGATAACCAGATTTTCAGCCTAACACACGTACACATACGAATCACATACACGTATGCATTTCTGAGTGTGTGTGTGTGTGTGTGTGTGTGTGTGTGTGTGTGTGTGTGTGTGTATATAGGTAGATTCATTTGTATTTGCACAACACGAGACAAACCGGCGCGAATACCAATTGATTGCGCAAAACTGACCCCAGACAACAACAGCCACAGCAACAACAACAACAACAGCAACAGCTTAACCCCAACAGGTGGCAATGCGTTGGGTCAGCGGCAAGGTCAAAGCAATGCAGCCGCTGCCAACTAGCTTGAATGTTCAAGAAAAACTCTGCCGGCAACAATTTGGAGAAGCAAAAACAAAAGACTTGCGACACGAACTTGTTGCGCAGTCACACTTGTTATTTATATCATGTACTTATACACGCACATATACCTATTTATGTATATATATATATATATATATATATATCTTGCATATATCACCAAGCCAATTGGAACACATACGAAAATTAATAAAAAAACCAAAAAAAAAAAAAAAAACAAAATGTCCCAAATTAAAAAGGCTATGCGAGTTACACATTTGATTTGAAAGTTTTTTGGGTTAAATTTTTTTTTGTTATTCGCTTAGTCCAAAAATATGCTAATTAGGCATTTGGTTATGGTTTGAAAAATGTGATTTTCTGCTTGGATTGCGGCTTTGCGCTTTTATTTGTCCCATCTGTAAATAATTTATGAGCAGTCATTTGGCACAAATGGCAAATGGCAAATAAGTTAAATAAAATAAAAACAATAAGGTTCAAAGAAACACAAATTGCATGTGACATTGACAAAGGAATACGATGAGCAACAAAGCTAGTTTTGTTTTTTATTTAAAAGCAATATTATTGTTCATTTTTTTAGTAGGCGTCTTGTCATTGTAATGCTGTTTGTTATAAATAGGCAAAATATGTTTTCAAAACGTGTTTCTTCTTCTTTCTTTCCATTTGTGTATTGTACTTGCGCAATATTTTTGCACATCTTGCGACAATACTTTGGCCTGTGCGAAAATCTCGACACTTTTTTGGACATGTTTCATTATTTAACTGCGCATATAAAACTGACAGGTTAATTAGTTGTATGTGTCTGTTGCAAAGTTAAAAAAAACATAAAATACTATAAAAAAAAATACAACAACTACGCGCTTGTGTGCTGAGATGTGCGTGTCTTCTGCCAAGCCAAAGTGTTTATACCCTTGTACACAAATTAAACTTCAATTTCAGAAATCCCCATGACTTATCAGATCCAAGCCTTATGCAATACAGTTTATGGTTTTCTTGTAGCGAGTGCGTTTATTATGTGTTTTGTTTTTAACAGCAATATGATATAGTTATCCGATTTAAGCGCTTGTAATGCATATTCGATGTGGCAACAAAATCGTGACAAATTTTAACTACTCCCAAGCAAGTGTATTAAAGCCACATTGTTTGACAGCCAAGCTTTTTGGCCATATTTGCAATTCATTCAGCCAGTAGCTAGGAAACTGGTTATATTCCAAAAACAAAAACAAAAACTAAAATTACATTTGTGCTAATCATGGACCTGTGGTCAGTTTTGTAATGCGAATATGTGATTTTTTTTTGCGACATCGTCTACGACTGACTTTGATTCGATTTGCAATTCGACTCGATATTCTCGACAACAAACTGCTTCTAGATCATACCTCGGGGCAATACTTTACCACCGATATATAAGAATCTACTTATATTCTTATATATAATTGTTTGCCCAAGATATAATGCTAAGATTTGAATAGGTTGTGTCTCCTTGTGGAATAGAATTATAGAATTTGTACTTATAAATATTGTATATCTTATAAATATTTATATAAAGTTATAAAGTATGCCTTTTTTTTTAATTTTATTTTTTCTTTCTATTTTAATCATTTCATTTAATATAAATAACATCCAACAATGAAGGTTAAGCCGGTTGTCTGTACAGCTTTTTCGGAAACCTCCAGGCGAACGTTTTATTCCTTTCTGCGAAGCCCTAACCGGTTGAGAATTGCAAGCATCAAGCAACGTATTTAGTATTTATTGGGGAAACACGTTATCTAGACTTTATGATCCCGCTCTATAGTTTGAAATAATCCATTACCACACTGTGCTGCGTTTACAAGGCCTGCAATTTTATTTTGATTTTCATTTTGGGCGCATTCAACCCAATGCACGTACATTGATGGTAATTATTACAGAGTCTTACTCTGAATGCTGAAACTGAAGCCGAAACTAAAACTGAAACTGAAACTGGTTATGGTGAATTCAAGCTCAACCGTGGCGCCAGTTACCCTTACTTGAGTTTTGTAGCTGAAATCGCTCGTGAGCTTTTCGAAAGCCAAGAAGCCGAAAATGCCTGAATTGAACAGTAGCCAAAATGTGCACAAGCACGCGAGGCATATTAGCTACTCGAGTTAAGTGGGTTTTGTATGATCATGTCTCCCGATAGCTCTGAGCATGCTCGACTAGCAAACACCTTATTTCCATGACCTAATTTTGGATGAATTAAAAGAGTTGTAAAGATGAGATCTTTCTAGCTGCTTTCATTTCCATTTCTATTTTATAGAATTATATGTAGAGTACATTCAAGTCGCTTAACTTTAACTCTATCAAATTCACACCGTGACCAATTAAAAGAAAATTCGCTGCCACTGAGATTGTGTAAATATAAAAAAAAAAAGATAGCAGGTAATCATTTTTCTTTAATAATGTTTCGAGCTTTGGAAAACGTTTGTAATCACTTTTAAATGATGTTATATAGTGTCGGCAATTTTGGACTTCCTATTGTCCAACCTAAAACGATCGCGTGCCCCCAGATAGCCTAGACAGCGTATTTTTATTGTAATATCAAAAATCATTTTGGAGATCTCTTTGAGTGCTTCTGAGGCTCATCTTTTACCTAAGATGATATATTCTATTTGATATGTTTGCACATGCAAGTTAATACCTTTTGTAACATCGACGATCTTTACTTCTTATGACAAGTAAATAATGATATGTATATACAAATAATATAAAAATATTTATTTGTGTTGTATAGGATACACAAATTTGTTTAGTTAGGATTGAGTCTAGATAATATGGCTTCGTTGTTCCTCCAAGTGTATTATTTATGTGCATACAACGAAATGCTTTTAAGACTATAATTTCTTTATACGTTCATTAGGGTCGCATTCTGAACGTTTTGTCAGGCTTAATTACGTTTTCATGCATCTCTCCCTTCACTTAACCTAGTTGACACTGAGGCAAATCAAACTAGGAACTCCAGGCCTGTTGTACACAGCTCCATATCATAATGATACCCTGTAAAGAAGCAAACTCTGTACTGATCACATGCTTGGGTATATATAGATTCTTCCCTTACTTTACACAAATGAATTAAATTCAAAACAAAACGCCTTATAATCTGCCTACAGGGTATCACGCAGTGCAGCACTCTCGACTAGCGTACTATTTTGATTAATGCTAGAGTGTTAGAATTAAGTTGTCGGCACTTAGTTTTAATGCCAGCATATTATCATAGAATATTGTTGATCCCTAACATTTGTCCAAGTCAAAGTTGTTGTACAAAATGTTTGACTTGGGCTTCCAGCTTGGTGGGCACGTGCGTAGACTTATTGCCAATACTGTGCTGTGGCCCCGCTTTACGATTACTCTAAAATTCCTTTTTCCATCAACAGAATAATTATAGGTACATATAATTTTGGGTGGTAGAATCACGGGCATTAACCGCTCCATTACATGTTTTAAATAGCTTGCTGTGACCGTTGGCCACGCTCATACATATATACATGTATGTGTGTGTGTGTGTGTGTGTGTGTAGATACATATATACCAATTATATCTATAAAATGTCGTGTCGCTGGGGGATTTTATTTTAAATACGACTCTGAAGTCGCAGCAACCGGTGGGTGATAATAAAATCTAGTAAAATTGTGCTTTAATTGTTTGCAAAAAAAAAATATAATAAATAAATAAAAGAAAATTATATTTAACATATGCCTCTTTTGCAGCAACATGTTTCGAATACGTAGCCTATTGATTGTGATATTCACCTGCCAGGCCCTGGGTGCGGACATTTTAATGGCCACCATGGGCGGCACAAAGTCGCACAAGATTCCGTTTTGGGAGCTAGCCAAAGGATTGATAAGCAGGTGTGTATTGTGAATGTGTTTGCACAATAGCTCGCTTCAGATTCCCTAATTGTTTGAGCAGCGAAAAGTTATTATCCTTTTAATTTTCCATTTGCTCGAAAGTTAATTTCAAACCCTAAAATATGATCAAGAAAATCAAAGTTCACATTGTGAGAGCGCAAAGACAAAGCAAAGCAAATCATTTTACACTATTTGCTTTGGTTTCTGAAATTTTAGCCTCTACATTGATGTGGAAAGACTTACGTATGGTAACCCACAGCAGTAAATATAAATGCTCATATGATTATATAAAAAAATTTATTGGCCCTGAAAACCATAAAATTTAAATTTAAACAACGTTTTCAAATAAAGCGCTTAAGTGATATGTTTTTTTGTTTCGGAAATAACTCTCAAAAAGTGATAACAAATATTTTAGAAAGTTTAGAATATCATTAACAGTATTTTACTCGGTTGTAATTGAAACGAGCACTTTGTCATTTACGTAATTCGCTTTTTTAATATATAAAACTAAAACAAATTAGATCTTCTCGGGCAATAATTTTTAGAAGATTGCTGATGTTAGGTTTTCGCTAATGAACATTTGATTTAAACAATACGTGCATAATGTATCCGTAAGAATGTTATACTTTCTCATGTCTTCCAACTTTTTTGCGAAGAATAAAATCAATATTTTATTTAAAATTAACTTAACAATAGTTCTTAAATTGATTTTCTTACGAATTATTTGACGACCTTATAGAGTATATATGTATATTCTTCCGTCTTATTGTTGCAGGCTTTCAATAATTTGATTGATAGCTTTTCAATATATCTCCCACTCATAAAAAATTTTAAATAAATAAAATACTCTTCAAACGTTATTGACTAATTTGTACCTTTGTATTTTTCAGAGGACATAACATCACTTTCCTAAGTGGATTTCCGGCAGATTTTCATATCGATGGCCTGCATGAGATAACACCAGCGAGTCTGGTTGAGTACATACAGAACTACACAAATTGGGATCTATTGGGTTCGAGAATGAATGGCGAAATGCCAATCAAGCCCTGGGATGGATTACGCTACGCATTTGAGGTAAGCATCCAGAGCTCTTCGAGCATCGAGAGTTTCTTTTTACCTATACTTGCACCTCTTTGGTTTTTTGTAGTCATGCGATGCTATGTTGGGTGATCCGGAAACCAAAGATCTAGCGAATCGCACCTTTGACCTGGCTATACTCGACGGCGCATTTCCCGAGTGCTTGCAGGGACTGACGCACCTCCATGAGATACCGTTTATGTACATAAACACCGTTGGATTCTACACTGGCAGCTTATCAATTGCCGGCAATCCGATAAGCTATGCGATAACTCCAAACTTTTACTCCCGCTTCACGGACAGCATGAGCCTCTACGAGCGAGCGCTGAATACAGGAATGCAAATCGGTCAGAATATTTTGCACAGTGTAAGTACACTCTTATATTGGACATAACTTTATTTGTCTGTCTTCCAATGCATCTGCCCACAGTATGTGATGCGTCGTACTCATCGTGTTCTGCGGGATCACCTGGGTGCGCATATACCCCATCCCTACGACATGTCTCGCAACGTGAGCTTCATACTGCAGAATGGACATGCTGTCGTCTCCTATCCCCGGGCGCTGAATCCAAATGTCGCGGAGGTAGCTTGCATCCACTGCAAGCCTGCACGACCGTTGCCCAAGGATTTGGACGATTTTATTTCGGGCTCGGGTGCGTCGGGTTTCATCTATGTGTCAATGGGCTCGTCTGTGAAGGCGGCCAATATGCCGGAGTCGCTGCGTCGTATGCTGGTCAAGACATTCGCACGCCTGCCCTACAATGTGCTGTGGAAGTACGAGGGCAACGCGGCGGATATGCACGATCTGACACCCAATGTGAAGCTGTCCCGCTGGCTGCCACAGCAGGACATTCTGGGCCATAGCCAGCTGCGCGCCTTCATCACTCACGGCGGTCTGCTGAGCATGTTCGAAACGGTTTACCACGGTGTGCCGGTGGTCACAATGCCCGTGTTCTGTGATCATGACGTTAACTCAGCCAAGGCGGAGGTCGATGGCTATGCTATCAAGCTGGACCTGGAAACGCTGTCCACCAACCAGCTGTACAAAGCCATCATGAAAGTCATCCATGATCCACGCTACAGAAATGCAGCCAGATATCGCCAGAATCTGTTGCTGGATCAGCGATCCACCGCCCTGGAGACAGCCATTTACTGGACCGAATACGTGCTGCGACACAATGGGGCCTACCATCTGCAGACCCCAGCGCGAAACATGGGGTAAATTATAGAATACGCCTAGGTATAAAAGACTCAATTCCCTTCTTCTATTTTAAGCTGGTGGCAATACTATCTGCTGGATGTGGTGGCCGTCTATTTGTTGACCATCTGCGCCTTGGTGCTTATTGCAAAGCGCCTTGATATTCGGTCTGAGAAGATGCGCAGCCAGCACTATCCCAACTTGCTTCCAGCAACCAAAAAGAAATCGAAAAAACTATAATTCCAGCACACGAAACTAATGTTTACCCACAATCAATTATGTCTTAGAATTACGGGTTGACAAATAATATTGTTTAAAAAAAAGGAACTTTCTACATAAGACAGACCTCAAAACGTATACTGCTAGGGTATATAAATAGCTTAAATCAATAACGGCATCTCTCCGAATCAATCTTAGAAAAATAGAAAAACCTCCGTTAGAAAATTGGCAAGTTAGCTTTTAATTCGATCTATTGTACAAAATTAAAGTTTCCGATACTTTCTCATTGGAAGACAATTATTGTTTGTCATCCGTTTAAGTTCTTTTCGCTCTATTGGAAAAAGTGCCTTGTACATATTGTTTATATTTATAATATTAAATTTAAGTAGTTGCTTAAACATACAAATTTCGAATATCCTAAAATTGTTGTGTAAAATTTATAAGCGCGGAAAATTTAAACCAAAGTCTACAAATCGTTTAACATAATCATTTCCTTTCAATTTTATTGTTAAAACACCGTGGAGAGTTGGAGTAAAATAAAGTTTAATCTATAATGTTGAAATGTGTGAAAGAAAGCGAAACAAAACAAACTTTTAGAAATATAAAGAGGAGGAAATTAATACAGCTTTAAGTATCAAATATAATGCTCGATTTAAGTTACACGCAGATCTATTTTACGCTAACTGGATCTATAGAGAAATATTGCTGGGTAACATCCGGTTCACATATTAATAAAAGCTGAAACAAGGTGCAGAAGAGCCCTCTTGATTATGAGTCTAGTTGCGCTTAAACTTTTGACAACGTTTTAAGCATCTCTTGATTTTTCGATCTGATACCATTAACAAAAACTTTAAAACTCTTATGTTATTTTACAATCCTTTAGTCAGGTTTTTGAGACAAGAATCGAATTAAAGCTCCAATGAGACCTGCTGACAACATTTTGGATCACAAACGAATGAAAACCCTCAACAAAGCTCCATTGATTACGCCAAGAGATTGTCAGTTGACATAAATATATTGTTCGCTATGACAAATCGTAGCTTAATGTACACAGTTACGCTTAATTAATTAGTTTTCTGAACTAGTTTAGCCATCATCTTCTCCTCTTTGACCTTTCGTTTGGCCTCCTTTTGCTTTCGCTTGTCCTCCTTCTCCTTCTGCTCGAGCATTTCCTTAAAGCGTTCATCACGTGTATCCACCTTGAATCCGAAATGCCGACGTACCTCCTCTATCAGTCGTTCCTTGCGTTGAATTGCGGCCGCGGCATCTGCTTTACGCTTTGCTACCTTTGCGTTAAGGTCCGCCTTCCATTGTTCCAGTTTTTCTAGCTTCTTGAGAATGGCATCTTCACGATCTTTTATTGCCGCTTGCTTTGCGGCCTTAGTGATGCGAAGTTTCTCCAATATTTCCGGCAGAGTTTCGGGTTGCGTAATGGCTTGGCGCTCTTGGGCTTTCGTTCGTTCGGCTAGTGTACCAAAGCAAATCTGTGGATTTACTTTACTTTTTCCGCCATATCGGCCATAAAGGCTTCTCTGATACTTCTCAGTCAAATGTATCCAGGAGTGGGCCTCATTATATGGCATTGTCTCGAGAAGCACATTTTTGTGTTGTGGCCGTAAACCAGATTTATCCCGCTCAGGCACATATTCCACATCGTCCTTTACAAACGTTGCCGGCAGTTCTGCTTTTGCAATGCTACTAAAATATTTCGAATGTTTAATTGAAATTCCAGTAGTAATTCTTAATTTGTGGAAATTCATCTTAAACAAATTTTATTTGTAATATTAGTAAACATATCGAATTATCGATAAGCACAACTGAGAACAGTGTCACCAAAGTAAAAAAGTTTTTGCGCAATCGGGCGTTCCCACTGCAAGCATTATTATTTATCGATAAGCCGAGCCAAAATCTGCATTCAAACTATTTCGAGAATTAATACATATTCTTTATTCTTAAGAAAAATTATTATACTAGTTACAAGTTGCTATTTATAATACATCGTGCTATAGCAAGGTCCTGATATGAATCAATTTCTAGACCATCTCCAGCTGCAATTTCAACAACATCGCAGCTAGTATTTAGGAAGAGAACGAGAAATATAAATTGTATTAATAGATATTTTCAAGTAATTTTATTCGAACTTTAATTAATATGAAACTTACTTTTCATTCTGTAAAAGTCCTTTCATGGCCAATTTTCTTGTTGAAAAATAAAACATTCCAGCTTCTACCATATCACCTTTCCAATCTTGCCGTCTGGGTCTGGCTCTCAAATTAAAATTATCAGGCAAAATTTGTTCCTCCACAAATTTCCAACGCAAATTATGGGACCTTTAAAACCAGAATTAGAAACTTAATGAGTAAGATGTTCCTCTTTTCTTCTAAACCCTGCAGAAGGTGTCATCTTACCGTTTAACAGAAAATACGCAGTCATGTGCCTTAAATTTTTGAAATGCTTCTTCAATATATTTTTCTTTTAAAAAAACCGACGTGCATTGAAATATGGCAAAATTATCGATTGCTTTATGTCCTTCGAGGAATTCCTTAATAGCCTCAATAGACGATGTCCCATCCATTGCGTATTCCGCAGGCCGTATATGTACTATGGCACCATCTAGAAAATTAGCATGTTAGTAACAAGAAGATTTCAATACTACTTCAAGAACTGTGCTATCGGAACTGAGTTTATAGATACTTTACATATGGTTTCAAAAATTACTTACATTTTTTTGCTTCTAATGCAATTTTCGCGTCATCCGTCGAGACCCAGATATGTTTAAAGCAACTGGAGTTTCTTATGGTTTTGATAGCACGTGATAATAAGGAGAAACCATCAATTTGAACTAAATTTTTATCTGTTATTCCTTTGCTTCCACCGCGAGCGAGGATTAACGCATGTACATCATTTGTCGAACTATTAGCAGAAATTATTTATTTAATATTCAAAATGTAATTATAAATTAATCAGACACGTTTAATCAAAATCGAGACGCTTTTTTAAGTATATCCAATTTATTGTCTTTATAAGACTCTTAAGCTGAGGCAATTTAATCCAACTTTTGTTTTGAAAAAAACTGGGATGAATTAAAATTGTTTAAAAAAAAATGTAATTTGAAGTAGTACCAATTTGCATTAGCTTCCACTTGAATCGCACAATGTAAAATAAATGTTAAGAACCAAAACTTGAGCGCGTTCATAATAATAGAGCACATGGACTTGAATAAAAGAAACAACTAAATTTAGACTCGACTAAATGCACTGCTATCCACAACGAACACTAAGGTGAACATGAACTTCTGTGTTTGCTTATGTTGTGATTATTTCCGGTATTGTTGTCATTATTATGAAATGTTTTCTGTTTCAGTACAAACGAGTAGTTATCGATTAATCTAACTATTTATCATGTGCATGTATGTAGTCGGAAATGATGTGCATACTTGGCTAGCTTCCATGTATGACTCTTCAATTGACTGAATCAGGTCCACTCTAAAGTCAATTACGCATTTGTTATCCCATAATTGACATTTAATGTACATTAAGTATGTACATACATTGTATACATATACATATGTACTTGATGTTATTGAAGGTGCAATGCGGTGCGATAGTCTTACTTAGTTTATTGTTTAGCTACTTTTTCTTATAGTCAAACAGATACATATGAGGTACTGTTTCCCTTACAAAGTTAATTGACATCTACTCGGGAAGATTTTATTTGGAGCGAATCGCTTCAAACTTCCTTTGTATGCTTTATGAATAATACCGATTAGTAATAAAAACGGACATAATCTGTAAATGAGAACATAAAATATCTTCGCTCTGTAAGGGTATGCAAAGTGAGAAATTAAGTCATAGTACTATAGACTAGTAGATACTCTAAAAACAGCCGCAAGTGTTCGTGACACACAGTCATACCTTTTTATTTACATACACACGTACACACAAACACACAAACACAGAAATAATAATAACCTTCACAAGGTCGTTTGAACTGGTTAAAACATTAGACATTTAGTTGGGTACAAAATATTTCAAAACTAAAACTAGTTCTCTTTCAATAAAAAGACGAAAGATCTTTCCCGTTTTTTTTAAATAAATATTTATTGCACAGTTATTTTATATTGCTCTAAAGTTATTGATTTTTAAGACTTTTCTTGTAAAATTATCACTTACTTAAATATTTTCGTTGATGAGGAAATTCAAGTAAATAATTATACCGTCAAAATATACGATACAAGTAACTTAATCTATTGACAGGTTTTGGGGTTTATTAACTAAAGTTTTGAATCAAAATCGGGATATAATCAATGCATAAATAATATTTATATGTACATTGTATATACAAAACTCTTAAAACCACATCCTATAAAAAAATATTCTAATCGATTTTATAATTGAAAAGTTTGCAAATGTATTTGTTTAAAGAACACTTGCATATTTTTGGTTAATATATGCTTTAGTATGGTAATTGTATGTCCGGATTGATGCAGCTAATGTTTGAACTAATTGTTTGTCCCGCTTTGTAGATAGGGTAATATGATCAATACCGCTTGCACTAAAATAAAATAAAAGAAGATTTCATAAACATAATGCTCGACTTCGAGATATGCATTGCATAAATGTAAGTTTAAGTCACAAAAATTATACATACAATTAAAAGTTATTTACAGACGAACAAGGAACAACTCGATCGCCTATGCTGGTTATTTTTTCTTCTCTTATTTTTGATGGTTTTTTTTTACTTAAATCTGTGAACATAGACACACACATATATGTTTTGGTAATTGCGTATGAGGCGATCGGCATTGATTTATATTGGGAATGTATAATTTGGAGCACATTATCGAAATTCTTACTTGATATCTCGTGTTCGAAGGACTCGTTCGGCCCATGTCTGGGGTCTGGGAATATCCCGTGTAACCCCCACTTGTTTCTTGTCAAGATAATCAATAACATCATCGTAATAATTGGTTCTATAGTTGTACATGTATTTGTACTGCAGAAATTTCGGCCTTAAAGCAAACAAATAATAATAAAAAAGTTTTTTACAACTTAAGGAGAATATCCTTACCTGACCCAATGCCGATATAGTTGAACTGGTTTCCTGTATCCATCGTCTTCTGGTGGAGGTGGAGGTGCCTTCAATTCAACTTCCGGCTCGGCAACATTTTCTTGCTCCCCCGATTCTTCGGCTGCCTGAGGGCCAGCTTCAGATCTCGGCTCAGATTTGACACTTTCTGGCTTGGATGGGACAGGATCAGTGGATCCTGGCTGTTGACTTTTTGCATCGGATTCAACGGTATCACCTTCATCAAAACCCCAAGGATCTTCTTCGTCCGCCATTTTACTGATTTTTATTTAAAAATGTTCAATCTTAATAGGGTACTATTTCAAATCCCCAGACAATAGGGTACTGTTATTTAACCCAACCGTGCTTTAGCCTAATTTCACTATGAAAAGTTCGAAGCTCTTTTAGGCCAATTGTTCTATATATAGTGTCTAATTAAGAACACAAATCATTGTCGTCGTAATCTTTATCTTTATATATATACTATTGGGTCAGAGACTATCCCAGTACATATATATTTGTCAACAGAATATACTTTAAGAACATATGTAGGGTATTGGGAAAAGTGCCATGACAATAGCTAACAACTAAAAATACCCTAATCGATGGTATTCATTTGAATATGTGTTCGTGTGCGTGCATAGCAGCACATACGTAAGTGTTGAATAATTGTATCGAATATCACGTCCTTGTTATTTTCGAAATAGAAAAATAGAGAGACAAATAGACACCTAACTAGTATGAATTATCTTGCTTAAAATCAAGGATTAAAGAACGTTAAATTTTAAATTTCATTTTAACTCTGATATATATGTTTGCTTTTCACATTTTTAGGATTTTAATTTAGCACAATTAATTAATTAATTAATTAACTAAAAGTCTATTTCCTTTTAAAAATTTCTTCGCTAATTTTGTTAGGTGTAAAATACCTGTGATATAGTGTTTATATTGGAGTTAAATTAAAAAGACTAACCAAATAAGTTTTCGTTCGCATGTAAATGCAATGGAAATAGCTTTTTAGATAGAACAAGAAGCAATACATATTATATATATGCACAAAAGCTACGAATAAAATAGCTTGTGAACTATTAACACCTATTCCCATACAAGACTCATAGAGATGGAACACAATGCCAATTTCAAATGGGCCATATTAACGGGTTATTTAAATAAACTAGCTTAATACATTGTGTTTTAAGTGATAAAATAATTCAATTTTAGATCATTTATGGATAAATCAAATTAAGCAATAATTTAGAAAATTCTCATCATCACATAATTTGTTTCAATCAATGCTTCTTTGAGATTATTTATGGATAAATCAAATTATGCAATTTTATAAATATTTGTTTATAATTTAGGGAATTCTCTTCATTACTAAATTTATTTCAATTTTTGGTTCTTTGAGATAATTTATGGATAAATCAAATTAAGCAATTTAATATAAATTTATTTCAATTAATGCTTCTTGCTATAAATATATTTGACATTATATATTTTATATTATACATTCGAAAATTTTTATCGAATTTCAGCCTATATATAGTGTCTACGATATGTTTCTTTTTTTTGGATATATATCTATATATATATATATATATTATGTAATATATTATAATTGATTCGCTTGGGTCGCCAATATTTTATTATTTCTTGCATTGTAATTGGATATGTTTGCTTAAGAATGGTGCAGATCGGTGATAAAACCTATTACAACTTCACAGCTAGGACACATATGAAATCAAAGAGGAAGATTCGTAAAATGTAAAGTGTAAAATGGAGAACTAGAGATGCCAAGCCATCTCCCTACATATTTGCACCTTTGGAGGGACGGCTTTCCATGCACAAATGATTACATAACCCGTTCAGTCTTTAAATGAGCAAAAATGCAGTCGCGTAACCTAAGTGTTCTATAAGTAGTTGTTGATATTTTCCGATGAAGACAAACGGATATGTTTTCCGAATTCAACTAAAGCTTATCGTCGCGATAAAAGCAATAAGAATTGGCAGAGATCCAGTCGTAATTTCAAACTGCATTTCAAATGTTTGGTTAACGTCCTCATGTTTCATATAGCATGATGATATATATATATGATGACATTCGGTGAAACTGGTGAAAATCAAGATATTATAGCCTAACTTCCGGTAGGCTTCAATGTGTGTTTGGAGCTTCAGGTGAGAAACAAGTTTAAATAATATTTTCTGGGCGCTGGCGTTTATTATTATCATTATTAGGCGCTTCTTTACACTTTGACTTAAGCAGATCTAATTAGTGGCAGTCGCGTTTTTTGTCTGCTATCATGGAAATATGAAAATTAAAACGAAATATTTATAGCAATAAATAAAACGCTATCCGTGATATTCCAGTTGTGTAAGTTATTCAGACACTAGAGCAACTGCGAACAAGGAATTTATACCCTTTTTTCAAATAGATATTTTAATTTCTTACCCAAAGGCCATACACGCCAATGATATTTTTAGAATTAATAAAAACAGTTAATAAAAAAATGGTAAAAATAACGATAGATCGAGAACTGTGGGATATTTTTAGAAATCTGTTTCATTCTATAGTTCCAAAAACGAGCGAAACAAACGAGCGTTGCCACTTTAGTATGTGAAAAATACTAACATAAATGTATCAAAACACAATTTTAAAATATCGCAAGTATCGATATAAAACACAAGTTGTTTATGTACACTTACACACACATGTATGTGTTTGCTTGTGTAAACAAGTATAAATGAATACTCCCTTTGATAAGATAACTAATGTTCCAAATGTATTTTGTTTTTCAGTTTACACACATACACACACATGAATCATAGTGTGATTCACTAGTTGCATTACCGTACGCAAAGTAAATTGTTTAAGGCCTAACGATGGCAACTCATGCGGAAAAGGACTTTTTTCACTTGGTATGTACAGATCTGCACATCTGTAACAAAACAATGTATGCGCCCAATGTTTATATGAAGTTCTATCAACAGATTGTCATGAATGAGTGTAGTGAAATACAAGCCTTAGTAAAATAATGTTTCTGTGCGTTACACCTGTACTAGGGAATAATACTGTGTTATTGTTTAGAATTTGATACTTCTTAATGGGACTCAGTTCAAAATATATGTAAATATAAATGTTATTCATTTAATCGTTGTGCATTTAATACGGTTATGGCCTCATTTAATACGGTTATCGCCTCAGTTGACTTCCCACGCATTCGTTTGATACCATATGTATATAGAAATAATAAAAAACTTTTTTGGCGGGGCAAATTCACGAAGTGGGCAATAAAACAGGTTATTATCTGTTGCTGATAAAACTATATGGATACGGATTGCACAATTAATAAACAGCAAATTTAATATATAATAGTGATTTGAAACAAATCATAGTAGATCTGGCAAAATGATCTCCATGGGCTACATGATTAAAGTAGATCCCAGCTGGATGGCCAGGCCAGTTCCGATAATCCAGGGCTTGTTGTTGTGTTGACAATCTGCTGAGTTAATATTTGATGGGTCAAGATTCAATTGAATCAGGTGTACGTGTTAATAGATGGAAACATATTAAAAGACTAGGGCATCCTGGCTAGAAGGTATCTTCTGCTCTTGTGTATATATTTATAATTTAACGTTTTCTCAATTTAATTTGATATATTTATTGATTGCAGAATGTCAGTGTACACAAAGCACTCAAGGGAATAGAAGGGCCGTTGAAATCAAAACATGCTCGCTCGATTATAATAATAATACACAGATCTAAGGAAGCACAAACATTTTGGTCGCTCATAACTCGCCAACCTATTATGGAAAATAGATTTACGGCTTGGAAGTTTTGCCATCTATTGCATAAAGTGTTAAGAGAAGCGCACAGGTGTGTTATTCAACAATCACAGAAGCATCAGAAAATGATTTTGGAAATTGGAAAGTCATGGGGCCATCTACAAGACGACATTGGATATTGTATTAAAGCATATAGCAAGCTGCTGGTAACAAAAATCAACTTTCATGACAAGAATCGAATGTATCCTGGAAACCTTTTAATAAGTTTTCCGGAAATTGCTAAAGCCTCCAATAAGGATTTAAATTACTAGTATGTACTATTTATATTACTTAAAATCTGTATTTACTATATGTTCTTTTTATTACAGCTTTCAATTATGCGTGGAAATTTTCGACTATTTGGAGGATATTATTGCTCTACAAGTAGCAATTTTTTCATCTATTAATACATATCGGATATCGTCGATGACACAGCAAGGGCAATGTAGATTGGCGCCATTAATAACCCTCATTCAAGATTCGAATCCACTATATGATATCAGTGTCCGAATTATGTTTAAACTCCATGAAAAATTACCAAATGATGTGCTTTACGGTCATAGAGATAGGTTTTCTGGCATTTTTCCAAAGTTAAAGTTGTTTTATGATAATGTGAGGCCTTTGCAGTACTTTAATGACCTTATAACTGTTCCACAGTTGCCGGATCAGAGTCCGAACTTTAAGTCTCAAGTAGACTTCGGTAGTTACGTACCACCCGTGGTACTTGTCCAATCGGAACCCGACCCGGTAGTAGATGATCTTATTGACACTAACTTTCCCAATGCTGACGACAATACAGATCATGTTCAACAAGATCACATTTTAAATGAACGTATTAATGTCTTGGAAAATATGGTGGAAGATAAAAGCGATATTATTATACAACTTAAAGCCAAGCTAGATGAGTGGAAACATAATTATGAGGGACTGGAACAAAGTTATAAACAAGATGTTCTGGAGCTCCAAAGAAGTAATACTTTATTATCTAATGATTTGGCCTCAGCAAAAGAAATAGTTGCAAATATACGCATGGAAAAAAATGATTTGGAACTGCAGTTGACTAATAATCCCATCTTAATGCGTAAGTAATAAGTTAAGAACATAATAAATAAGTGTGTTCCTTATTTTAAATAGGAATATATATTGGAATACCAAATAATCCCAACGTACTGTGCTGTCCTTTCATATGTATATAAAAAATAACTATACTATTTATTTGCAGAAAAAGTAGTTGAAGAAGAGGAGAAACAAAAGCTATCATCAGAAAAGTTTAATAAGTTAAAAGTGATGTATACTCAAATAAGAGACGAGCATATAAATTTATTACGTCAGGTAAGGCATATTCTTAACTATAACATTTATACCTATAATGTTAAAGTTTTTATAACCATTAATATTTATTCACAGCATAGCGACCATTCCAAATCGTTGAACAAAGAAAAGCAACTTAATTCGGAATTACTGTTGCAGATTAAGGAGCTAAATAATGAAATATTGAAACATAATGAAACGATAGCAGCTGATAAAAATAATAATAGGCAGCTTTTACAAGAAATAGAAGAGCTTAAGAGCCAAACTACAAAACTTGAATCAACTGGAAAAGAAATAGAAACAAAATATGAGGCTAGAATAAATGAGCTAACCAATGAAATTTTAAAGAATAATGAAACGATAGCATCCGATAAAAATAATAGTATAAAGTTATTGCAAGAAATTGAAGATCTTAAGAGCCAAAATTCAAGACTTGAGTTATCCGGAAAAGAAAGAGAAACAAAATATGAGGCTAGAATACATCAAAAGGAAAATGAAAATTTGGATTTAAGTTCAAAGGTGAATATTTTGGAAGAAACGAGTATAGAGCTTGACAATATTAAATTAGTATTGCAAGAAAAAGAACAAAAACTTGCAGAAGCAGAAAACTTATTAAATGTAAAAAATAAGGAAATTACCGAAAGCCTTAAAAAATCTGAAGAAAAATACATAAAAATGTCAACTGAGAACGAAGAAGTGCAAGTAAATCTTAAACGGGAGTTTCAAGCCTTACGCGACATCTTTCAAGAAACCGATGTCAAACTTAAACAAAAGGAAATCGAATTAAAGGTAAATAATTTTTATTCACTTAGTTATCTACTCGAAGGTTCCTGGTAAAATTTATATTGTTGGGGATCCAAGCCTGAAAT